AAACAGTTGTCTCCTGAGGCAGTGGGAGCCGAAAGCATTATGGGAAGAGATTATTAAAAAGCAAGGAAGCCGAATGAGGGTGGGGACAGCTTTCGAGTGCCACTTGGCTAAGGGACTGGTTTTGACACCAGTTTGCATTCTACAGGAAACAAAAGGTTAACAGGGGACGTGGATATTTTCAACCTTGTTCAGCCGGAAATAACACATGTTTTTTTCATATTACACCACCACTTCTTTGGATTATTAAAGCAGATGAGTTCATTTCACATTTTAGTTGCTTGTTGAACATGACGGCTTGGAAATATAGTTCCCTAGCGCAGTAAATCGGGAAAATAAGTAGCTTTAAAATAGGACCCAGTGTGACATCGATTTCAACCCTGCCAAAACTAAAGCGCTCTACGTTCATTCAAATCTTCTGAATCACGCCGTTGTTTCTAGACGTTTCTGTGTAGGTATACGGACCGATTCATGCGAACGTGTATATATATTAAGTGCGCTGATTTCATTTATTTGTACGTACACTCATTTGCTAAATTGGATTTAGGTCACTTGTTAACGTTTCGGTTTCTTATTAAGGGCAAACATCTGACAGTGGAGCTTTCGACTTATCATAACGAAGGGCTCATGCAAAGACCAGACTACTGTCTTCTTTGAGAAGAAGACCACGATTCCTTTAGTGAGAAGTCTTTTTTCCATTATCAAGACCAAGAAAATCAAACCGACCACGGATCCTAAAAATGGATCCAAAAAAACGTAATCAGTGAGAAAATGGACACCACTTGTGTATATGTGGGTAACCAATTACGAGAGAATTATGGTCCTATAAGTAAGGAATAAGAAAGATGCATGGAAGCCACAAATTTGCTTTTTTACGTCCGATGATGCGCTTAAGTACGAGTGGGAAGCCTCAGGTGATTAAATCATCTTCTAAAGAGAACGTTTGACCTTCTTCCATCTCAACACTAAGAGTCAGAATTTTCGCTTATATCCATATTGATGTATTACAGTCAGCAGAACACTATCCACAAAGATATGGGAAACTGGGACGCCCATTCCTAGTTTCTTGACAGCCATCAAGCAATCATACCCAATCTCAGCTGTTTCAACGCCCTATGATCGTAAAATTCTGGACTTTTCACCATTAACAGCCAAACACTTTCTTCGAAAGCCTCCGAAAGGCATATTTCATGAAGGTTCTCCTCAAAATATTCCAGATGAACGTGAACCGGATAGGAGTTTATTCAGTTCAAAGGAGTAAATAATATCTACAAAAACATTATTTAGAACATCTCAACAAGAGGCCTCGGCCACTAGTTCCTCCAACTGCGACACCTTCTTCGTTAACGAGCCCGGTTCGCATGGACCTTGGATGTTGATAACGTGGGTGTAACCCCGTTGATCGCCCACAGCTACAAACCATTTCCTTGAAAAAGCAAATATACGAAATAATGGACTTAACCTACATTTTGTCATTGAAAGCCAAACTCATAACGGCGTTTGATTCTTTTTCTGATCTTTTAGCAAGTTCGAACTTCTTCGTAAGGCTAGTATATATGCTGGTAGCATTTGCGTTGGGCGTGATTTGCGTCCCGGACCCAGCCTGAACGGAACCGCGCAAGTCAAAGAGCAGGATGGAACCGGCTTCGGCGCCGGCTAGAATGTAAAATGGCTCGTATGGGGAGAACATGATGCTAAATATTTGTCCCTCCCCGGAATCAATTACCATGAGTCGAGTTCTTTCGAGCACGTTGAATATCTATAAGGGAAATATTTTAACTAAGGAGTAAAATCAGTATGCCTGGGAAGTTATAGTGAAGACACATTCAGGAACCATTCAATTGGCACATAAAATTTTAAAAAATGACCGTATATACTGGTAAGGTAAGGAAAAACATGCTAAGATAAAACGAGGAAAATACGATGGAAAGAATAGCCATGTAAACCTGCTTTCAATGTTATATGCTTATAACTAATGTGCTTTGGCGTTAGTGCGTACAAAATAATCGTCAGCAATTAGAAGACGAACAACTAACACAGTAGATATCCGCGAACATACATGCACAGGCGTTCTGAACTCCTTCTAGACCAATGAGATAGGCAAAAAGCAAAGGCACTTAATCTGCTTGTCGGTTTACCAATCAACGACCATATTAAAACGGATACATGTAACTCTTGCAAACTTGGCAAAAGTAAATGGCTATAGTTTGCTGTGAAAAACGTACCTCACACAGCAAAATGCTAAATTCAGTTCGGTTCAGTTTATTCGAGCGAAATTTAGGTGTGCACATTTGAGCAGTGGAAGTATGCCGAAAGTTTAGAAAACTGAACATCAAAAAACGGTTAATTAAGTAGGAAAAACTGTACAGATAGACAAGCTATCTTAAGTGCTAGCAGTCAGTAAAACAGACATATACACGTATGCTCGTAATACATTAGTTACTGTAAACACACGCAGGCTACGGGTGTCATGCCAGGGTCATGTTGATAGTCGGTGGGTATGTGCGCTGAGGTTACTATACGAACAATTTCTGTAAATAAACGTTACTACAAAATTAAGAGTAGCATTATAGCAGTAATACTTCGTAAATAAACGTCAAGATGACAGCAGTCGGATGGAATAGTGGTGCGTACTGTAATACTGATCCACTTTAATTTTAAAAGCTTTAACATAGTTTGGACAAGACACTAGGAATTACTTACATGAATGCCCTGAAAAGCTCCTGATGCAGCAACAAGATTTCGATGAAAAGGACTCCAAGAGACGCAGTGGATAGGGGCAGAGAAACGAGCAAGAGAAAATGAGACTGGGGAGGGGAATCTGTGGCCGAACGTCTGCTCTAAAAACGAAGAATACATAAAAATAGAATTAGAAGATAGTATATGTTCAGTGAGGACAGATAACAAGAAGGGTGATCTACGGAAAGGAGGAGCCTTGGCAGACCCCCTTGCAATTAAAAGCGGAGGCAATAGCATGGGCTTCAGAATTGGCCTGAAACAAGGCCGTCCCATTATTTCATGGTATGAGACTGAGCCGCACTTCTTATACAATGTGAATATATCTGGTGTCCGCAGACAACGCGTGGTCCCCCAGCTCGGTACTCAAGTTGCCGACGTGGGTAGGAATGCGATCTGTTATCTAGGACAAAATTACGGTTTTGTATGATACACTGGTTTCGGGCGCAAAGTAAGCGTCACTATAAGTTTGGTCTACTGGGAGAAGAAGTGATTAAAGTCCATATGTACGCAAAGTTCGATCAGATTACGCCACTCGTCACAGGCTATAAATAAGAAAGCAAGCTGATAACACCCTGGTTAGAATGTTGTGTGACCTATCGGGGTCTAAACTTCAGGTCGGTCGAGTCTTGGGTTCGACTTACAATGCAGTGAGTACGTTATTTTCTGACAGGCATTCAAAGGGTATTACATAACGTCTTTACGCTGACAATGACTTTAATGGAAAAGGAATACAGGTTGTAATCCATTGAGGGAAAATCAATGAAAATGTTCGACTTGAATATTGCTAATACGCCCTGCTCTGATACGGTCTTGCTTATTTAGTGCATGTCAAACAAAGAAATTCGCAATGAATTCGATACACAAGAATAAAAATAATGTTTTGCTAAGAATGAGGGATGATTCTAAACAGAGTAAAGTACGTAGGGACGGCGTACAAATTATCAAGACTGCGGAATGGAAGTGAACACAGTTGACTTAGTCTTGACGCCTTGAGCGTCGTGTTTTCGCTTAGAGATGAACGATCAGTATCTGTGGATGTGGATAGTGCGCATTGCAAATGATTAGGCTTCGGTCCTTCTCTCAATTGGTTGAGCGTTTATGCAAGAAATCCTAGATATTAATAGACAATTATGGCGGTGTCGTAAGAGACAAAACGTCAACCAAGTCCAAGCTAGTCAAGCTCTAAGCAGTCAATAAGGTGACATGCTGAAAAGTTAACAGACCCGTTTCAGCGCTTCCTTTCACTGGCAACACTTAGCCGGTCACCGCAGGGACGTCTTTTAGCTAACTATAATAGCTGCAGGTTATTTTATCAAGGTGGTCAACAAGCGATGTCACTGCGTACACGGAGGCGATAGTGCTGCCGCAAGTGAACTTTCGAGCAAATGTGAACCAGTCGTTCATTGACTAGTTCCTGGGAATGTAGTTCACTGTTCGCATGTTAGAAGAGGACGATCGACACACAATGACTACCAGCAAAGTTGAGTAGTCTGTTGTGGTATAAGATGAAATGAGGTTGACCTCCGGGATCTTGAGTTCGCGAGCATCTGAGTAGGAAAATCAGACTTCAGGCAGGCAGTAGACATTAACTCTTTACCTGTACACTGTCAGACGTTGTATACAAGGATTTATAAACGTTCGCAAACTCAAAACGTCCAAGACCAAGAGCGTTCCCGCTTACGTAGTCTTGGTGACATTATTCGCATACAACACTAGATCAGAGTTTCGGAGCCCATCTGCTTCAAAAGTTGCCTTGGCATAAACGATCATTTTCCGTGAAGAGTTTGAGTACAGACGGGTCCCTAGCAGCCGCTAGGATTGTGTTTTCGAGACTGTATCTTCTAACGCTTCCCTTCAAGAACCTAACCATAAGACAAGCATACCTGTTAAATGGCCGTTCACAATCTCTATATCAGAGTACCGT